GGTGGTCAGGACATGGCGGAAGAGTCTCAAGATGTCTTCTTCGAAATGTCATCCTAGCAGATCCATCGTATCCTTTATAGGCACCCTGGTGAAGAGTNATCATCCTAGCAGATCCATTGTATCCTTTATAGGCACCCTGGTGAAGAGTGACACTACATCGAAACCGCCGTGAAAACCTCAAATCTTACATAATATTTACCTTCTTGTTTGCATTCATGAAATTAGATAAATTCTTCAGAGCTTCTTTAGTATTGTTTCTACTGATATCATTAAAGCACAATAGATCATTGAAGGTTGGAGTGTGGGGTCTGGTTTTTATGGCCCACCCCTTATATGCATACTGATGTACATACATAATTCATAAATTCATTAATGCGTTGTCCGAATTGGACCGGATATCGAACTCATTAAAATAAGACTTTATTGCAGAAGTACAATCGTGTCAACAGCAAACAACCACACACAACCAAAAGCACCAAATAACCATAATTTACATTGTCATTCATAAACAAAATTGCAAGGAATATAGTTANGAACATTATCATTCATCCTTTGTATATTTTGCGGAAGATTATTATAAACCATAATGGATGAATATAACATGCCTCTCTGGATTGAAGATAATCTCACTGATGACACATGTAGCTTTCCAAACTGTCTAGTGTTAATATGATGAATATTATTGTTGATTTGGAAATATTGTGATTTCTAACAACAAACATCAATATAGAATAGATATATAGGCTACCAACTGCCAAAATACCCAACCTCTTAAAACCTTCTCTACGCGAGTTTCCAGAACTCAAACTCAGCATCACCCTAATCACTCTTTTTTGGGCAACAAATAAACTTTTTATAACTGTAGAAGAATCCCAGAATATAATACTATATTCAAGCTGAGACTGATAATAAGAAAAATAGATCATTCTAAGATCTTGTTCAGTGACAAGGGATTGTAACTTCCTGAGCATAAAACACACTGTATTCAGTTTCTTTAATAATTTTAATATTCAAAGAGTTTAGGTCATTTGAGGTAATTAAAATTGTTGTGTCATCTGCGTACAAAATAGAACATGCTGTATCCATAAGAGTACCTGGGTAATCATTAATATAAACATTAAACAACATTGGTCCCAGGACAGATCCCCGTGGAACACCAAACCTTACAGATTTCCATTCAGAGATTGTAGTAGTCAAATTACAAGTATGCAGCACAACTCTTTGCATTCTATTTTTTAAATAAGTCTCCAACCATTTCAAAATAGGCCCTTGGACTCTATACATCTTCAACTTTTGAATCAACAGATCATGACTGACACAATCAAAGTCTTTGTCAAGTCATTAGCTCCTCCCCACAACATCATTACACTTGAGCAGTGGCAGCTCGTAGCTAAAATTAGTGGGGATGCTGCTCCAGAAAATTTGTAGCCTTTGTTTTAACATTGTATAAAAACGTGTGTAAAAAGAAAATTTATTCAGAAACTTGATAAAATCCTAAA